GACACCTAAAAAATGTTTCCTTTAGCCCTCAGAGAAATGTAAACCAAAACTCTGAGATTTTACCTTATCCTCGTAGAAATGACCAAGATTAAAAATTATTGCTAACAATTTATGCTTAAGAAAATGTGGGTAAAGAAAAAACTCCATTGCTGGAAGTGTAAACTGACACAGCCATCTTTGGATCACACATCGTATTGAAAAACCTGAACAAACCAGACTCTCCCGGAAGTGTAAACTGACACAGCCATCTTTGGATCACACATCGTATTGAAAAACCTGAACAAACCAGACTCTCCCGGAAGTGTAAACTGACACAGCCATCTTTGGATTACACATCGTACTGAAAAACCTGAACAAACCAGACTCTCCCAGCAGGAAGAGAAGAAATCCAGGACTAGCCTGTACAGCGACCCTGCACCAGGAACTAGCTGAAGACAAAGTTAGACTGCAATCCTGATAATAATCCCGAGAAACAGGGAGTTTCTGCCTTGTGATTATCAGCTTGCTGTGTTTTAGGAACTAGCCCAAGAGAAAGCCAGACCATTGAGAATAACTTGAGAAACAGGGAGTTTCCCCCTGCAGGTACTACTGTTTTAGGAACTAGCTGATTACGACCCTGGGAGTGGTCCCGAGGCAGGGAGTTGTATTCCTGTGACCACCATCGGATTTTTGGAATTTATGACCCTCCCTGACCATAGGGCTGTGGCCTCTTTTCTTAAAAATTCTTTCTCCCGGTCACTCGGGGTCGAACTCCTCCCCTGCCAACCAAAGCCGCGAGAGCAACCTCAGTAAGGAGGGCCTTTGGCAAGCCATGGGGGGAGGTGCGCCATCCCGAGACCTGAGTGAGAGTCTCCCCAGCACTGAGGGACCCCCATTATGTCTATATTTTTAAAATTAGGCAAATATCTACCTCAGAACTTAGCAATACCCCCTTTGGGCCTAAATATAAAGTTGTTTAACCATAGGAATTTGTGTTCAGCCTTGCTTGGAGGCGTGGCTGAGCAGAGCGGCTGGGCCCGACCGTTCAAGCTGGTGAGCCTTACCAGGGTCCTGCTGCGCTTCTATGCCCTGAGGCCCACGCTGGGAGTGGCCTAGCGTTCTAGCCTTGTTGGTCCTCAAGGCAGGTCCCGTGTTTGTAGCTTTGCAGACCCTCAGTGCTGCTAGGCCTTGGAGCCGCAGCTGTTCACATTCTACAAAATCCGGAGGCCTCGGTAACTCGAACCATAAGAATATAATTCCCTTCCTTAGCATATTTTGTTCAGCGGCAAAATCCAGATCTCTACCAAGCCTATCACAGGATGACACATTAAGATTGCCAGAGGCGGCAAACCAAGGTGCCACTGTGTCACCTTCAGCTAAAAACCTCTCCAAAGCGCTCCATAACAGCACGTTAAGAGCTAGAAAAATCAGGTGTGATGTTGAAGCGCCCATTCTAAACTCCCATTCTTAAACCGTCTACTTTGGTTGTGGCCCTCATTTTAAACCGTCCGCTTTGGTCGCGGCCCTATTACCTCCACTCTCCCTTTTTCTACCGGCGAGAGCAGAAAACCTGCTTTTTGTTGCGGATCCCCAATCTTTACCTTGAGGATTATTTGGTGCACCCGCTGACTGCAATCAGCATACTTGGAAAGACTTACCGACGTCACCACTCTGAGTGGTGTTGAGTTCTGAATCCTCTTCGGCCCCTCGCCTGGTGACCGAAGTTCCCGGGGTTTCGGCACCAGCTGCGGCGAACTTCTCGACCAGCGAGAAAGAACAACCACCACACGAGGATTCTTTTCAGATCACGCTTTACTGGAGTGCCCTTGGTTGAGGGGAGCAGGAAGCTAAGGGGCAGGAAACTAGGGGCAGGAGACGAGGGGCAGGAAGCGAGAGGCAGGAAACGAGAGAGAGCCAAGAGCACTAAAGCAGCTGCTTATATAGGGAATTGGCACACGGGTCGCCCTGTAATTGGCTGCCACCATCAGCTGACACCAGACTGCATCGGGATAGGCCCAAGGACCCTTATCTACCATGCATGCGGGAAGCGGGGGACACGCAGCTCCCAAAGGCAGAGCCAAATATGGAGTTGTTTATTTCCAACAAGACAGGATGTCGGCGCCATCTTGTAATGGCGATCCTGTCCAGCTCACTACAGTAAAGGATGGCCTACAGCCAATCACCAGGCAGGGCAGAGGGAGCACAGGAACAAACAGAATGTTTTAGTTGGCTGACCAGAAACTGTCCTCAAGATGAACCCCAGGAGCAGGGGTAGACCCAGGCCCTAGAAAGGATAAATGTCCTGGTGACAAGAATTCCAATCCTCAAGCAGGTTGAGAAACTTGTCAGAGAGAAATGTCCCAAATCACAGAGGAGAGGTGTCCTTTTCTACACAGTGAGGAACCTGGAGGGGAAGGAACCAACCCTAACACACCTGTGTGGCTTTCATAGCGATAGCAGGCTCCCACAGCCAGCAAGCCCACAGAGAGACAAAGCAGGCAGCTAGAGGCTGACACTCACCTAGGAGATGAGAGAGAGAGCTGGTGGAGGCAGTGACAGCACCTGTCCACATCCTGGGTTCCAGAAGGTTGTAGCAGGCTCCCAGAGCCTGGCATCACTGTGGAGAAGCATAGCAGGTCAAGGCAAGAAGCCGCTGAAGAGGCAAACTCTAGAATTTGGAGTCAAATCTGGAGGATGACAGAAGCCAGCAGAAACAAAGGATCCAATATATACCTTTGGAGAGACGAATCAGCAGCAGGTTCGGCTAGGAGGCAGGGGCCTCTTGACAAGGGCTTTATTTATGTCAACCCGGAAGGTTTCAGCATCAGATATATAAAGTGAGGACAAGACCATTCCAAGGTATGGTTGAGAGGAAGGTTTTTATTGTAGCTTCGAGGGAGAGTACAGCCAGAGGCACTTGGAAGAGTCCAGAGCGCATGACAGATTAGTAAATTAAACGTAGCCGGCAGACTGGACTTGGTGGGTGGGTGGGTTGGTGGGTGGGTGGGTGGGGACGACCGAGAGAAAAGGAGCAAGAGAGGGGACTAAGAGAGAAAGACAAAAGAGAAACCAAGAGCCAAGTGCGTGCAGAGCTAAAAAAACGGCAGGGTTATAAGGGACTGAGAAAGTGAGGGACGGAATCCATGACTGGAGAAGTTTAGGATAGGGGGTGGGGTGAGAAAAACTGAGAAGAACCACAGGTAGTTGTGAAACGAAGGAAGCCTGGGAACCAGCATGCACTTTGGCGTGCTAATAGGCACCGCAGAGAGTCACCTGTCAATACCCAGAAATAAATACCCACCATGAAAAGAGGGAAATAAAGAAGCAAAAACCAAACCAAAACAAACAAACAAGCAAACAAACAAAAAACCTATGGTGGACTTGAAATGAGGAAAAAAAAGATTTTGGTCGTTTTTTGAGTTATTTGTATATTCTATAGTAATCCTGTCAGGTGTACCGCTTGGCAAAAACTGCCCCCATTCTGTAGGCTGTATTTTGACCTGTAACTAAGAGAGAGCTTGAATTCTGGTTCTCCTGCCTCTACCATCCAAGTGCCAGGGTGTACTCCACCGTGGGCACCTGGTTTTGCTTACTTGAAATTTGAATGAAATTCATGCAGTAGCAATACAGAAGCATGCATGGGCAGCCCGTATTTGGCAGCTCTGGCTTTCGTGGTCTAAGTTGACGAGGACGACTGACCAGGTCTCCTCGAGTTTTGCATACTTAGGATTGTATTGTTTTTAACCTTACTTCCTTTTTGCGAGGCGGCACGGTATGAAATGCATACTGCCCGTTCACAGAGGGCCCGTGCGATCCTGTCTATCCTGTCTCAGCGAAACTAGTCGTAGGCATGCAATTTGGCTAGGTCAGAGCGAAAACAGTACAATCCCATTAGAGAAGGGCCCAAGGAAAACCACCCCCAACGGCTTCTAAAAGGGTTTCACAAATGCAAATGCGGAACAATTTCGTGAGAAATTCACTTAAAAAAAAAAAAACAACCAAGCACAAAGGCATCATGTGATCGGATAGGTCCTTGCAAGAGGGACTGGACTACCGCTGCCGCTTTGCTTTCCTTACTTTCCTGGGGTCTTAGGACGATTTGCGGTTGAGTGTTGGGGGGAAAGGTGGACGTAGGGCAAAGGCCGAATTAGGTAGGGCGAGCTGAAATTCGAACTGTGAAAAGACAGGTAGGGGCAGAGGTGACCAGGAGATCTAGGAGTGGGCTACGAGGCTTTCTCCGTAGGGTGGACAGAAATGCTTGATGAGCCGAGGAGGCAGCAGAGGAGGCAGCAAAAGAGGCCTAATTTCGGGAGAAATGCGGGGGAGGGGGAGGGAGAGCGCGTTGGAACTCTCCAGCACCGCGCACGCAGGTAACAACCAAGCAGAGCAAGGATCCGCCCCGCAGCGGGGAGGATACCCTGGAGCTTCTGATGGGGGGGATGGGAGGGGGAGTGGGAACACTGGGACTTGGCCCAACTTCACCTAGTTCTAGTCTATCCCCTGGAGTTTGGGGGAAATGCTGAATCCACGCAATTTCCCGAAGAAAGACCTGCCCACCAAGGAGTTGTAGTGGTCTGGCTTGGGGGTAAGCAGAGGTGGCTTGCTTGAATTTTTAGCCCTGAACCTAAGGGACATAAAATACACCCAAAGTGAGTTGAGGTCCGGTTACTCTGCTTACAGTTTGGTTACCCTCACCTTGGCTCAATTTCTTCATCTACAGCAAGCCTCAAAACTGTCCTTGGGAGATATTGTAGTTTATAAAGAAACGAGCTCGCAACTCTTCTAGTAGGAAAGGCTGGGGTGGTGGTAGCTGCAAGGACCATCTAGTTCCTGGAGCATGAGACCCTGTCGCCTCACAGTCACAATGGACCAACCCAAATAATGACAAAACTATTGGAGAGCAGCTGGGACGCCAGGCAAGGTCTTAGCACCTGGGCGGGGGCTGTGGGATGTGGGCGGGTACGGTCCTGCAGCTTTTTCCTCCAGCTTCTGTCGGGACCCGCCCTGGGCAGTCGGCAGAGAGGTGGCCGGAGAAATCGGCGATGACTTCCAGCTAGTGAGTGTCCCCGGCCCGAGGAACACGGGCGCGCAAGGCTGGGGAGGAACAGGTGCGGGTGGAGCCCTGGGAGTACTCGCGTGGGCGGCAGCATCTCTCGCGCCCGCCGTGCGCGTGCAGCCTCGGATGGAGACCCCCCTCCCCCCACCAGCCCCCTTTCTCGGCGGCTGCGCCCGCGCAAACGCGGAACCAGTTTTCTAGTGGGAAAATCTGACCTGGAGGTTGTTTCACAAGAACACGCCGTGGGCACGTCTGAGCGTGGGGTCGTGCCTTGGGGGTGCCGGCCGCACAGCTAGAAGCCCTGAAGCGCTGAGCAGAGACTAGGCGCGTACCTGATTGAGTTCCGGGATCCAGCGGTAGGATGAACGTTTATAACGCCAAGCTCGGGAGCCTTGGGCCCCCGAGTCCTATACAGAGAGTTCCATAGTCGTCCTCGCAGACCCAACGGTTTCAGAATGTTGGGTCTGGGGTGCGGTGTTGAGCTGTACCTTAAAGAGTCTGTACCACTGCGCCGCACGCCCCCCTCAAGAGGCTGAAAGGTTGACTTAATAGTGAAGGCGGGAGAAAATGTACTTGGACGACGTGTTCGATTAATTTTTACAAAGTACATGGCAGGATGAGGTTGTGTCCTGGCGGTGGTGGCGCAGGCTTTTAATTCCAGCACTTGGGAGATAGAAGGAAGCGGGTGTTTGTAAATTCGAGCTTAGACTGATTTACAGAATGAGTTTCAGGACAGCCAGGAATGCGCAGAGAAACCCTGTCTCAAGAAAAAGAAAACAACAACAAAAAATGTGACTTAGAAATGAATGTTGTGCGTTGTTTTCACACACACACACACACACACACACACACCCCAAAGATTATTTTCTCTGTATTTTTTTTTTTTCCAAACACAAAGTCAGTTAAGGGAGATGTAGCTCAGTTGACGGAGTGCTTGCCTGACACTCCAGAAGCCTTGGGCGCAATCCCAACTACTTGAAAAGCAGAGAGCCACAATTTTGAGGCTAGATGGAGGGTCTGTGTAGTGGTATGGTGCTTTCCTGCTATGCACCAGTACTCGGGATCATTTCTTTTGCTTTCTTTCTTTTTCTTTTTTTTTTTTTAAAGATTTATTTATTTATTATGTATGCAGTGTTCTGCCCTAAGAGGGCACCAGATCTCATTACTGATGTTTGTGAGCCACCGTGTGGTTGCTGGGAATTGAACTCAGGACCTCTGAAAAAGCAGCCAGTGCTCTTCACCTCTGAGCCATCCTTTTTAAAGCACATGCTTGTTCCACAAAGGATGCAGGGAGTGAGGGGAGGAAGGCAGAGCTTTCGTGTATCCTTGCGCACTTCTAAGGACTTCAGGAACTCCAGGGTCCTTCAACATTCTTCCTAACTTCCTGCCTGAGGGAAGAAGCAGAGATGCCAAGGCTCCTTCCACAAGATCAGTCAACAGGAACCATGCCAGTGGATTTGAGGTTGGCACATTTTGGCAAACTTCGTTTTTCTTTCACTTATGAAAAGCTAGAATTTTTGCCTCTTAGCTCTACAATATTAATCCATGCTGTTTGCTGTTTCTCTGTTTCTACTGCTTGATGCTGGCCAGCATGGTCCTGGGGAAACCAGCATCTCTTCTAGCCTCTGAAATGGGATAGTTCCCCTCAACACACCCTACCAACTCAGGGAGCGATTACTGTCCCATAAACCACACTGAATGCGTGTTAACTTCTACATTCATTTCCAAAGCCAGTAAGATTATGCCCATCTGTAGCAATTCCAGCAGCTCAAGGGCATTTTTCTTTTTTGCTACATTATGAGTTTGAGGCCAGCCTGGGCTACATGAGACCCTGTCTCCAAAGGGGGTTAAAAGTCCAGTTCATTCTATACCCTAAGGAGCATTTAGGAGTGAGCTCCAGGATTATATTTCTCTGTAAGCGGATAGAAAAGCCTGATGCCCAGGGGAGGATAAAGGACACCAACGTGGGGCGTCACTGTTCCCCCATGCAGCATACATTTGGGGCACATCAGCTGTGCCCTCCCATCTCCCAGCAGTGTTCCTAACAAGGTCTGAGAAGAGTGAACTACTGACATCTCCACTTTACAGCTGGGGAAACGAGGGAGAAAGCTGTCCAAGGGCCATGCTGGCAGGAGCTGACTGGAGTTTAGCTCAATCCAATGGATTTTGAGTATTTGGGACATTTATTCATTTGACAAATTGTCGGAAACTGGAGAGTTGATTCAGTTGTTAAAAACACACAATGCTCTTGCCGAGGCCCTGTGTTGATTCCCAGCACTAATGTCTAGCAGGCCCTAAGGGTAAGCCTTGCAGCTCGGATGGGAATTTGTTCTGGCAGCTGGGAGCCAAGGAATACCGCATAGAAGCTCACAACCCTGCTCCAGGGAGAGGTTTCCCAATGTAACAGCTCTGCTCTGGTAGGGGAGGGTTTCCCCAGCGAAGTTTTTACAGTTCTGCTCTGCCCCCCCCCCAGCGAAGTAAGAAGGTCTCACCTAACCCTCATTCAAGAGGCTTATTGGGAGGGAAGAATCCAGGAGAGCAGCTGCCTCTGCCAGGGTGGGGAAGGCAGCAGCCAGTGGAACAGGTGCAGGGCTTATATAGGGCTTCTCAGGGGCGGAGTTTTTCCAGGGAAAAGGTTTTGAGGGTGGGAATTGGTCAGATTTTAGTCTCGTGAGCTCAGATTGGCTAGATCTCACGGTCAGGGATTGGTTGGTTTTCTGCTTAGTTGATCAGGGACAGATTTGGCTCTGGTTTTAGGGCCAAAGTATGTTTCTTTCACTGGCCCTTTTAAACCTTTTGACCCTAATTTCGGGACCAGGGCATATTTCTTCCACTTCTATGGCCAACATGTGTTTCTTTGGCACTGGTTTCAGGCAGGGTCAGGGTGTGTTTCTTTGGTTCTGGGTTCAGGGCTAAAATATTTCTTTCCCTGGCTCTGGTTTCAGGGCCAGGGTGGGTTTCTTTGGCTGGCCCTTTTACCCTACACTAAGCATTTGTGACTTTAGCTCTAAAAGGTCTGAAACCTACACAATTGCACATGCACACACACGCACACTTACTTAAAAAAAAAATCTTAAAACTTATCCAGACGTTGCATGGTTCCTACTAGTCCTGGAAAACAAAAGTCCCAATCTCTCTCTCTCTCTCTCTCTCTTCAAGACAGGGTTTCTCTGTAGCTTTGGAGCCTGTCCTGGAACTCTTGTAGCCCAGGCTGGTCTCGAACTTGTGCATGTCTGAGGATGGCTTTTGTCTGCAGGGCATGCACAAAGGGGCATCTTCCTTCTACCTTGTTGGTTGTGTGGGGTCAAATTCATGTCATCAGGGTAGCAAGCACCTTTAAATGTGGACCTGCTTAGCCATCCTGCCAGCTCCTTCCCCCCCACTTTGCTGCCTTCCTTCCTTTCTAATTCTGAGATGCGGTTTCATGTAGCCCAGGTTGGCTTTGAACTCACTATGTAGCCAAAGATGACCTGAATGCTGGATCCTCCCACCTCTGTAGAACTAGGATTGAAAGCATGTACCACTGTGGCCAGTTTATGCTGGCTGATTATTATTTGTTTATCAAGACAGGGTTTCTCTGTGCATCCCTGGCTGTCCTGGAACTCATCACTTTGTAGACCAGGCTGGCCTCAAACTCAGAGATTTGCCTGCCTCTGTCACCCGAGTGCTGGGATTAAAGGCGTGCACTTCCTCCACTACCCTGGCTGCATTCAGCTTTTTATGTGGGTTCTGGGGTCAAACTCAGGTCACCAGGTTTTACCAGCTGTGCCTTCTTACTAGTTTTCCTTTCATTTTAGAGCAGCCAAAAAGTTAGACTTTCTGAAGATTTTCAAAGTGTGTGAGATGTGTGTGCAGTAAAGGGTTAACTGAAGGCCAGGGATGTAGCTCAGTGGTAGAGTCTGTGTCCAGTTTGCACGAGGGCCTGAGGTCATGCTTTATAGTACCAAGGGTGGGGGGACTTGGTGAGCTAAGATGTTTGATTCAGACTTAATATTACACTTCCCAGGAAGTTTTTGGTGGTGTTGGGTATTGACCCCCATTGACCCCCAGCCCTTTAGGAATATTCAGTGTATGCTCTACTACTGAGCCACAGCTTCACCCCACACCTAAAACAAAGCCCAAACCAAAAACCCAAGAAACACACACACCATATTATACTTGGCAGTTGGCTCTGTTTTGATATTTTAGGTTTTTGTTTGTTTGTTGTTGCTATTTGCTTTTTCGAGACAGGGTTTCTCTGTGTAGCCCTGGCCGTCCTGGAACTCGCTCTGTAGACCAGGCTGGCCCCGAAATCTGAGATCTGCCTGTGTCTTCCTGAGGTTAAAGGCGTGCGGCAGTAGCACCTTTTGTTTGTTCTTTGAGACACAGTTTATGTAACTCTGGGAGTTCAAACTCGCTTTGTAGCCCAGGCTGGCCTGGTCCTTCTGCCTCATGGTATTTTCAGTCTTAAGCATCGGTTAAAAACCTTAGGTTTCATCTTCAGAAATCATTGCTGTTTCACATCTGCTTGTAGGGAAGTAGCCACACCAGGGAAAAGGTTTCACAAGTTCCTGAGCGACACTGGCTTTTACCTAACAACCAGAATCCTACAGTCCAGGCTGAGCTCATCTCTCGATAGATGGGCAGCCTGAGACCTAACACTGAACATCCCAGTTACCCAGCTGTGAGTTCTTCCGATGAAATGCCACATCAAGGGAAGTTTTCAAAGCTACGGTGCTCACCTGAAGCTCCTGAATGTCATTAAAACACAGAAGTAAGCAATGGCACAGAAAAGCCTCTTGGTGCAAAAATTAAAAATCCCCCAAATTAAATGCAACAAAAGGGCCTGTGGAATGGCTCCATGATCTAAGGCGCTTGCACTGTAAGCCTGGCAGACCTAGGTTTGATCCCAGGAACCGCAGAAAGGTGTAGAGAGAGAACCAACTGCATAAAGCTGTCCTCTGATCTACGCACTTGCCTGGTGTGTATGCCCCACCCCATCACGCCACTGAGCCTGTGCATACACACAGACACACATAAGCACACACACACACACACACACACACACACACC